AAGAATGAGTTTTATAAAATTCATCATTTCTAAAATTGAATATATCAAGTAGAAAATTATATTATCTAAAAAAAGACAATAATAACATCTTACAAACATATTTAAGATTAGAAATAAAGTTTTTAAAGATATCTGCATTCCCAAAGATTCTTCCCTTGATTTATATGAATAAAACAATGTTTATTTTAGTCTGGGGTTCTCAAATCCCTATAGGAGCAAGCTCCTATAGTTAATTACTTCCTATAGTTAATTACTCCCGTAGCACCTCTACCCGACTGGATAGAGGCGACTGACGCCTTTAGCTCCTTGTCCTTTTGTTTTGTTCCCTCGATCGGTATCGTTCCTCGTAGTTTATATTAATAAAGAAAAGAAAACATGGATTAGAAAGTACATTTAATAATTAATAATAAAATAATTGAAATTTACTGAAAATAAAGACGTACCTTTCTTCGGGCTTGAAAGCCGGCTTGGTTGAATGTCTTTTTGGAACCTTTACTTTTGGAAGTAAATTTTGTAATCTTCTAACATGTATCTCGAGGCATGAGAAAGGGGAGTACTTCCTTTTCAAAACATTTTCATATATTTCAATATTCAAAAACACCTTTCAACACACACAAATTTCACCTTTCAAAACATAAACCTTCCACCTTTCCAAATCACACAAATTCCACTTTTACCTTTTCAAAACTCACACACTTCCTTTTTTAAGATATACACTTTGACTTTTCAAAACCACAAAATTCACTTATTCAAAGTTTATACATTTCACTATTCAACATTTATTCTTTTCAAAACATCTGTCCTTTCAAAAGCACACGTTTCATTTGAGCATTACAAAGCAAAGATACTTTTCCAATCCATAAACAATTCACTTTTCAAAACTTCCAATATTCATATACACTTTTAACATACACACTTTTTCATTTTTCCAATATTAATATAATTCTCACTTTTCAACACATAAAACCCTCTAACATTAAGCAAATAACTTTTTATTGGAACTACAACTTACTTATGAGTGATAAATAAAGCAAGTGAGATTATAAGCCAAATATGTAACACAAATCGTTTGAGACTACTCATGAAACAAGATATCTTGAAACGAAAATCAACACTTTATTAGGAGCCATTGATTTCTTGAAGAAACATGCATATAACAATTACCGAACAAATTAATGTAGTGTATTATCCATATATTAAACAACAAGCTATGCATTTGGAGCAATGAACTATATCAAGCATTTCACTTTTTATTCTCTCTAAGTATAATCGTCATCTTGATACAAAGAAAACTACAAGGAAACTTTCTTGATTTAAAAAAAAAAAAATCCAAACAAAACATGCTATCATTATTTCCTCTCAAAAATAGAAGTAATTCCCAAGAGCTCTTTCGAAATCTCTATTACATATAATTCAAACACATTTTCTATGAAAAGATAAAAATTAAGATTTCAAATAAGAGGTTATTGCTTTAAAAGAGAAGGGATTTAATCATACGTTTAATACCTTCAAACTTTTTCTTTACAGTTAAAGAAACCAACAAAAATAACCTTGACCATGAAAGATGCAGGTGATGAATCATTCCACATCTTTTCTATACATGTTCAAGAAAACTTCTCAAAAGAGAAAATAAATTCTTAAACTTAACAGAAAAGAAATGAAAAGGGCATCCCCGATCTAACAGCTCAAAACATTCAAGAATCGTTGAAAATCCGAACAAGATTTGAGTTAAAAAAAATGAAAGAGAATCCTTCTCTTTGCAATAATGAAAAACAAGGGAAAGAAAATAGCCACATTTTCAATCTAGCAAACTTTCTTCTCCTTCTAAAAACGATAGCACTTAAACTTTAATAAATCGTCTTCTTTTATCATCAAGATTGCTAAAAGGCAGAGAAAGGAGATGCGAATGTAGAAGATATACCTATAATAAAAATGACTGGTGGCTAGAGCAAATCGGACAGCGGCTGCTGCTGCAGTAGGGCTCGGCAGACTCCTTAAGGACGAAATCGACGAGAGAGATGGAGCAGGCCGGAGAAGGATAAGGGCTCGACTTGGGCTTCACGCGACGTCGGCTAGGGTAGGCAGACGAGGGAGGAGGCCGACTGGACTTCTCACGTAAACCGAGAGGGAGAGGTTTCTTTCTGTGTGTGTGAATCAGAGAGAGTAGCAGGGCTGAGGCTGTTCGTGCGAGCAGAGAGCGTGAGGGGTTCGGGATTTTTGGAACTACAGAGAGACGTGAGAGTGGGGGGAGTTCGGTTCTTGCGAGGGGAAGTTCCGAACGAGGGAGATCGGGAGTTGTTCTGTGCATGCGAATGAGAGGGGGATCGGGTGAGGGTAGTTCTTGCGAATAGAGAGGAAGAGGGAGATCGTGGGTGCGGTTAGACCGGCCCTAATTCCTATTTAATTAGTTTTAGTTTAAGTTATTAACTTAAAGATTTGATTTAAGAATTTTATTAGAAAACTTTAAATTTCATTAAATAAATAGATTTGATTTTTATTGAGTTTTATTGATTAGAATTTCTTGATCAAAGATATATTTAAAAAAAAAATTAATTGATCTTAACATTTTATTTAGATAATATATATATAGAGTGTATTTTAATAAGTTCGTCGATTTTGGATTGAAATCGAAACAAATCCAACCAAACTTGGCGACATTTCATTAGTTTATTATACTTGGAATTTTATTAGACTTTAGATTTGGATTGAATTGATTTTGATTTGAGTTCGTTTGGAGCTGAAGTGAAAATCTAGATTGAATTGATTTCAAATCGAGTTGAATGATGGGTTCGAGTCGATGCTACGTCAGCGGGCATCCACCTAAAGGAAATCCTACGAGGGTGACGTCTACACTAGGTTACGAAAATTTAGGTGCTAGAATTGATTCCGGGGAAATTGACCTCAAATAATGAGGTTAACACTTACCACTTTAGAAATAGAAGAACCCTAAAACTTCTTCACAATATTCCAAAGTAAGATTTTTCCATCAATCATCAAAAAGGGTAACCCCGACGTCCTTCTTAACCCCAAACAAGAAATAGTATATGGCTTCAACTCACAATACCTGGTTAACGAGAGCGGAGAGTGTCGATCGAACCAGAATGAGGCGATCAAAATAGCCGCCGCCGTCGTCTCGATCCAACTGAATCTTCTTCTTGCCATCCCTCGATGGCCTTCCGCCATTCGAGATATCGCCAAGAGGCTTCCTGTTCACCGATTTCCAAGAACCTTTCTTTAGCATTTTCTCTCTCTCTCTCTCGAACCGATTTCCAGCTTCGGTGATTTCTCTCCAGCATCGGTGATTCGCAAATGCATTGAATTTCTTAGAATTCTCTTTTTTTGTGTTTGAATGAAATACATAAAATTAATAAAAAAAAAAACTCGGAGCAATAAATTTGGAATTGATAGATCATGATGCAACTTGTTGCTATGGTCCAAGGGGGCAAATTTATAAATAAAAATGTAGAGATTTTTTTCATGTATACATATCATTTTAGTGACTAATGATTATTTGTACTTGAATACATAATACATTTTAAAAATATCATCAGCATCTTATATAATGATAATTATTCTTAAATAAAAATTAGGTAACACGTACTTCTACACAATGTGTCGGGGGTCCAGGGGGCAATGCCCCTTTGGGGGTTTCCAGGGGGCGCTCCGGAACAAATTTTGGTTGTAAAGATATTTTTGGATTCAATTTACTATTTCTCTTTGTATTTGGTTAATTGTTCCCTGACAATAACACATATACACAATATGTTTAATTATGTTGGGAAAATTGCCTAAAAATTATAGTATTTTAAAACTTTTAGGGGTGTAAATTGTCTAAAATTCCTTGTAAAAACCTCTCTACACAATGTGTATAATTCTACTAAGACGGAATCGCTTAAAAATCATAGCATTTTAATTTTTTAGAGGAGGCAATTACCTAAAGATTACTATAATAAAAAGTAAAAAAAAGCTGGAGGAGACAAATTTACACTATTTTTGCAAGAATGACAATGAGTTCAAGGCAGAGGATGGAATCACATGCAAAGCTTCAGCATTGCAGCATTATGACCTTCATACGAGCTTCATGCAAATGCAAATGTATTTTAAATTTGCCCAAACAAAATTCAAATATATCAAAAATCAACCATGTATTCAAAGCTCCTAAAAAATACCTTACATTTGATTTTATAAAAAATCAGAATATTTATTATAAAAATTGATTTAGCTGTAAAAATTTTATGATTTAGGAGTGTAATTTTGATTTTAGATATCTTGGATCTATTGTTCAGAGAGATGTTGAAATAGATGGGGATATTATCAATAGAATTCAAATTGGATGGTTAAAGTGGAGGAATGCATCAAGCTTGTTGTGTGACAGAAAAGTTCTCAAATTTAAGAGAAAAATATATAAGATGCTGGTGAGACCTGCAATGATTTATGATGTAGAATGTTGGTCATTAAAAGAGAAGCATAATACTAAGTTAACCGTGGCAGAGATGAGGATGCTTAGGTGAATGAGTGGATTTATCCTTAGAGACAAGATACGAAATGAACATATCCGTGAAAAGGTTGGAGTAGCTCCAATGGAAGATAAGATTATAGAGAGTCGCCTTAGATGATTTGGTCGCATAAAACGTCGATCTTCCAATGACCCGGTTAGAAAAATAGAGGTATTATATTTGACTTTTATTAAGAAAGATAAAGATAGACCTAAAAAAACTTGGTTATAAAATATTAGAAATGATATTTCTTTATTAGATTTAAACAAGAATTTGACTTTTAATATGACACAATAGAGAAAAAGGATTCATGTAACCGGCCTCACGTAGTGGGACAAATACTTGATGTTATTGTTGTTGTAGTAGTATTTGATTTTACCCTCAATCAAAAGCTCAAAAACTTAAAATTCATCCATTTAAAACACAAAAAACTCAAAATCCCTCCAACCAAACAATCTCATAGTAACAAAGAAACATCAATAGGATAAATTTTCTTCCTCTTCATCACAAAAATTGAGTAAAAACCTTCATATTTCCAGATCAGTCCAAATTGCACAGAAAATTATGATTTCAATATATCAATTTAAAAAAATGAAACGTTATGTTCAACGGCTAAATTATCACAAACTTCCAATCTGACTATATAGAGAAGAGGCAGAAATCAGTTTCTGAGAACAATAATCAGCTTAGCGTTTGATAGCCCATAAGACCATGCAGGCCATCCTGTCTTGTTCCATCCTTCATCAGCAGGGCTGGCATCCATGGAAACCACTTACTGATACTTTTCTTTATGGCAGTAGGACTTAACTGATTTTCATTAATTCCAAACTTTGCCCGTTCTATTGCCAACAAGAAATCTTCTCTACATACCACTTCACCACCTGCAACAGAATATCAGTTATTTTAATTCGAGTTCCTTCACAATTATTACAAAGAATGGAGTTGGGAAAGTTATATGTTTAGTCCAGAGCCTAAACAACGAAAGCTGAACAGTCACATTCTATGTCTTCGTTTGCGATGACTTCTTTACCTCTTCTTGAAGCAACTTTTTAGTAAAAAATTAAAATTTTGTACTAAAAACCTGCTTCAAAAAGTAGTAAAAAAGCCGTCCCAAACAAAGCTTATGTCAAAAGAAAAACCAAACTCATAGAGGTTTATAACATGGTGCCTAATCGTTATGCAAACAGTATAAAAAACTTCCTCTCGCTGTATGCCAACAATAAGGTGAAGTAGTGACTAGTGAGGTTACCAGACAAAGATATCAATGGTCTGAACTTTGAAATCTAAGCAATCAAATGTAGTACAAGCAGCTTGGTACAGCTCCAGTAAGAACTGTAAACTGTGCCTATTAGACTTGAACTTACAACGAATACAGTTGAGAGAAAGTTACTCACCTCTTCTAGCAGCAAGCAAGGCAGCTTCATTTACAATATTGGCTAGATCAGCACCAACAAAGCCGGAGGTAAGAGATGCAACAAGATTACATATCATCAGAGACTCTTCTTCCAAAGGAACCACTCTTAGGTGCACAGCCAATATCTTCTTTCTTCCTTCCAGATCAGGCTCTCCAACAATCACCTTCCTTGAGAAACGACCAGGTCGACATAAAGCTGGATCTAGAGCTTCAGGCCTATTGGTTGCAGCAATAACAATCACTTTCATGTCTGACTCAAACCCATCCATTTCTGTAAGCAACTGCCAGACATGAATAAATCAAGTTAGCCAAAGAAAATATTTTTTTCTCCATATATTGCTCCTTTAAAGGAATTATAAAGCATGGCAGAAGCTCAAATTTCTCAACCTGATTCAGTGTTTGATCTCTCTCATCATTAAAACTTCTACCACGCTTTCCTCCTACTGCATCAAGCTCATCAATAAATATTATAGATGGTTCACATTTTTTTGCTGTGTTGAAGAGCTCCCTTATTCTCGCCGCTCCCCTTCCAACAAACATTTCTACAAACTCACTTGCAGAAACAGAGAAGAAAGGAACTCCTGCTTCTCCAGCTACTGCACGGGCCAGCAATGTCTTTCCAGTCCCTGGAGGACCTACCAGCAGGACACCTCTCAGTAACCTTGCTCCTAACTTGCTGTAATTCAAGGATCCTTGTAAGCAGGAAACTATCTACAAAAAACAATTTTCCTTTGTTAAAAATTCAAAGATGAGAAATTAAAAGCATTGAAATCAGATACATCATTCAGTTACTCTCTACTATGGGGAAAGAATTATCAGCAGGCTGCATTTGATACAAATTGACATGGAACTTTGGTTCATGAATTAAGAAGATAATCATCATCATCCCAACTTCTTTGGATAAGCTTTATGAATCCCCATTCTCCATTTACCCCTGTTAGTGTTGCCTGAAGTGTTATCTTTTTGCACAACATTTATGCAAGTTACCATCGACCTATCCAAGTTTTTCGTAATCCAACGACATCAATTTTTACTTTGCGACCTTGTTGGTGCATCTTGTATCTTTCATTGTACCTATCCAAATCATATAAGAATATTTTTCATTATCTTATTTCAAAAGATGTTGAACCCATTACTCTAATATAATCAACTTTCATTTTTCAATCCTAATCTTTTTCACATCCATTTCAATATTCTTATTTTTGTCACCCTAAATTTGTCTATAATTGATTTTGTTGCTTGACAACACTCAAATTAATATAATCTACAACAACAACAACAACAAGCCTTCAACCCGCCATGTGGGGTCGACTATATGAATCATTTTTCTTCATTGTGCCCAGCTACAAGTCGAATTCTCATTTAAATCTAACAAAAAAGGTCATTATAAATACATTCTAACTAAGTCTTTTTATATCTACCTCTATCTTTTTTAACAAATGTATGTCTAATATATCCACTCTCCTAATAGGGTAATTAGAAGGCTGTTCGTTTTATGAGCCCAAACCATCTAAGGCAACTCTCTCTAAGCTTATCTGCCACTAGAGCTACTTCAATCTTTTCATGTATATAATTGTTTTGCATTCTATCTCTAAGTATAAAGTCACTCATCCATCTAAGCATCCTCATCAAAGAAACACATAATTTAATTTTATGCTTCTTTTTAATGGCCAACATTCGGCTCCATAAAGCATTGCAGGTCTGACCACCATCTTATAAAAATTTCCCCTAAGTTTAAGAGATATTTTTCTATCACACAATAGGCCTGATGCATTCCTCCACTTCAACTATCCAACTTGAATTCTAGTAATAATATCCCCATCTATTTCAACGTCACTTTGAACAATATACCTAAGATATCTAAAATGTGCACTCTTTTTAATGACTAGATCACCCAATGTCACAATCCCACCATTAGATGGCTTGATCACCCAATTACACTCCATGTATTCGGTTTTAGATCTACTCAAAAGAAAACTTTAGACTCTTAAGGTTGACCTCCATACAAGTTTTTTCATCAATATTTTAATTATCCAATATTAATACAATTAGTTATATCCCTAAATATATCACAATTCTTGTGTATAATAGATTCATGATAATTATTAAATCCATCAAACCTAAGTATTGCTTTATCTTCTAATAATATTAATGAATAACTAGTAATCTCACCCACTTAAATTGTATATCTTATAACCAATTTCTTTTTACTAATACTATACTCTTTATCTTTTAACATTTTCCTATACTATTCTAACATTCCACTTATTTCGATAGAGATCTCACCTATCAGTCATTTGTAAAAAGCATTCATCAAATTACATGACATTGAATATCCTTTGTAATTACCCCAATGATCAATACAAAAAGATAGAGAATAAATGATATTCATTGATATGAGAACTCCCTGATCACTTCAAAATTATTTCTTATGCAATTCAATTACCATTATATATATATATATATATAACTTCTATTTCTTTTTGACACGCATTTATACCTTAATGCCTACAAAATTCATTTTCTTGTAGTCCACTCAAATCACATGTAAGACTAAAAAAAGGTGTGTGAAAATCTTTTCATTGCTTGCAATAAATGGTTGAACACTCGCTTGAAGTAACACAATTATGTAAACTTGTACTTACATCCCTACATATGGCCATATAATTGCAAATAGAATCATAAGCCTAAAACTATAACTCCTTAATTTAGCAAGAAACAATAAGTGTTGTACGTAATCTGATTTCCACAAGAAGAAACAAGTTTTGCACATGATTCAGTGAAAGCAACTTTGTATAACTTTATTATGACTTTCCCTACAACCTATCAACAAATTAAACCACTGAAACATGCTCAACAACTTCACCAAATTGTTGAAGTTCAACTCTTCAATCTCAAATAAACAAGTTAATGCAAAGCTCTAGGCATCAAATAAGTATAAAACTGACCTCCATGAGCTCCTCTTTAGCTGCATCAACGCCCTCCACATCATCAAAACTAACTGTCTGATTACTGGGTCTACGCTTCTTTGCAGGACTATTAGCAGAAGAAATTTGACGATAAAGCAACCACATCAAAGGAGTCAATGGCACCCACAATGATATTATTGTGATCAAAACATTCCTCATTGACATAAATGCTGATTGCGGAGCAGAACTATATGTAGTCCCAGTCTCTCTCATCAAACCAAGTAGAAAATTCTCATCATGATCAATCTTTCTGGCAACATATTGCCACTTTGGAATAGAACGAGAACTCCATCTAGAACTAGACGAAGCAGGATTAGAATTACTTGTAACTGAGGAGCTCTCCTCTTCTGGCTTTGAGGAATCCTGTGAAGCAGGCATTGTGTTGAAAAAAATTCGTCGAGAACCCTCCTCAAAAAGCACTGTCAAAACCTTTCCACTTTGAAGATTTGATATCAAATCAGAATAAGGAACCACCTTAGACATTGGAACTGTTGTAAATTTCAGGAGCAGGAAACAGAACCCCATGGCAAAAGATATCACCATGGAGAGAGTAAAATTCCTAGAATTCTTCCTAAGCACGAATACTGTATCCTCGATTAAACTTCGAATTGATAACCTCCTTAGCTTAGCCGAAATTAAGCGCAATCTCATAGAAAACCTCCTCCTTGGCCGAGGCTTTTCTGTGATTCCAGCAGAGCTTTGTTTCTCTTTATCATTTCCACTCATGTTTGCAACAACTAACCTACTGCATCGCGATTCAGATCGATTGAGACCTGATAGAGAGAACGCTGGAGGATAACGGAAAGAAAGAGTAAAATAAGATGAGAACTCCCTCGATATCATACTCAAAGGCAAGAGCTTTTCTGCTTGAATTATCTTCTTCCTTCCATTACACAAAAGCAAGGGTCGATTTAGGGAAAAACATTGCGGAACCATAGCGCCGCAATAGGAAATTCTGACAAAAAGAACTTTTTTCACTTATTCCCGTAAACAGTGCAAATTAATCCACAAAATCCATCTGGCTTTCACTCCTAAATGGCAAACAACTCCTCAAGACGCCGGATTCGTAAGGAAAGACGAATCAGAGACTCACCGCTTTCTAGATGGTAGAAAGAGAGTTGGGAATTCCATTATACCGATCGTGATTTCCTTCTGTAATCAAACACTTCACCTCTCGAAGGCTGCGAGGAAGACGATGCGCCACACTAATTTTCGCCACAGTGGTGTCGTTTGCCTATCTTTCCAAAATCTATTTTTTGGATATGGATATGAGAGAGAGAGAGGAAGGGCTATATCTTCCTTCAGTCTTATAAATTACTTTATTTAAATGATCAAATAAAGAAAATGTGCAACAAATATTTGGTTGCAAAATATATGATTGTGATATAAATATAATTCTTTAAAGTTTGTTATATCTACCAAAATAATTATCAATTGCTTACTCCAACTTAGGGGTGTCAATATTTGACCCGACCTGAAAACCCGACTCGAACCTGACCCAAAAATTTAGGGTCCGGGTTAGGGATTTCGACCCATTTGTAAAACTGGGTCTGGTTCGGGTTGACCCGGAAACCCGAAATCAACCCGATTTGACCCGTTTTTAATTAATTTAGGAGGGTTTTAATGGATTTTTATGAAATAAGTAAATGATATTTCAAAAAATTATAAATATTATTGCCCAAATTAAATTAATCCTGATTTATTTTAAATTAATTGAAGTAAATCTTACCTTAATTTGATTTAAATTTAAATAAATTGAATTAAATTAAAAATTAATAAATATACCTGAATCGGGTCGGGTTCGGAAAACCGACCCGTTTGCAAAAACGGGTCGGGTTCGGGTCGAGTTGAACAGTGTCGGGTCAATTTCGAGTTGGACCCGAACCCGACCCGTGACCCGGGTTTGACAGCCCTACTCCAACTCATCCTATTAAATTCCTTCTTGTCTGCATTCACCAAATCCTAGTTAAGTTATTAGTATAAATTAAGATTTCGTTTGGGACAATTTTTTTAATACTTCTTAAATCAGTCTTTTCGTTAAAAAAAATATTAGTTTTTAAACTAGAAAATTGCTTTAAGAAGTAGTAAAAAAGCCGTCACAAGCGAAACCTAACGCTAAATAATATGTTTGCTGAATGTAAAACATAATGGAGTAGCCCTAATTCTCATAATCATCAATCATACTCAATAATAGCAGATAAATGAAGGCCCCTTAAACTATTATATTAATTGAGTGAAGGAAATCTCTTAGTATTGATAATGGGGTCATTAATATTTTTCATCACACCTCCGGTATTATATTTAATCAAAGCAGTGTAATGCCTCTCTCTAGATATGATTAGAGGAATAATCTACATATAAAATAAAATTATTTAATTTCAAAAGATATAGTGAGGGTATAATTATATAATTTAAACCATTTTTTAATAATGATTATACAAATTGTGAATATTATTCAAATCTTATTCCACTAATGATTGAATGTTTTAATCATGCTTAAAACTTTATTGATTGCTATTTGAATATTATTGCGTGTTAGAAAATGTGTAGCAGTAGAGTGAGAAAGTTTTAAGTTTCAATTTTGCATAAAGATCCAACACAAAAATAGACAGGTGAAATGAGTATGAGTGATACTAAAATTTTTACATGTAAATTTTAAAAAATGAGAATCGCAAAGCTTGACCCATCTTCAATAATTCTACTATATGAACCTTAATTACAAATATTTACTCCTCCCTTAATTTGAAGATGAAAATATTGCAAGAGTGTGAAGAGTTGGTAAACAATATTTGTGGATTGGATATGGAATGCAAGACATTCAAATGATTGTGGTCAAGTAAGGATGATTTGACTATGTTGGTTAGGTAGCAATGACCTAATAGTGGTGATTAGGTGGAGCTAGTTCAATGGTGGCAATTGGCATACATCGATGATTAGGTATTGGTAGTTTGACAATAGAAATTAGGCAGCGACAATTTGAACATGATGGTTTGATGAAGTTAGTGGTAGGGTTGTCAATATTGGATCCGACCCGAAAACTCGACCAGAAAATTTCGGGTTTGGGTTGACCCAAACCCGAAGCAGGTCGGGTTCGGGTCTGAAAAATCGACCCGTTTGCAAAACTGGGTCAGGTTCGGGTTGACCCGAAAACCCGGAATTGATCCTGGAATGACCCGAAAAATCTGTTTGCCCCGGCGTCCCACCATCCTCGCTGCCCAGTCTGCCCTTCGTTGTTGCTTCGGTTGCCCACAGGCAACGTGACCGCGTCCGCGCGTCGAATAGCGTCGGAACTCGGACCGTTCGAGACTCGAGAGATCGAGCCTCGCGTCGAATCGTGTCGCCTGCGGCCTAACCGAGGCCCCGAGTCAAGTCGCTGCCGGCCCGCCAGCGCAGCCTGCCCCTTAGTTCGTGCATCGAATCGCCTGCACCGCTGTCGCTGCCTCGCTGGCGCCCGCAGCCGGAAAGTCAGACTGCGTGATCGTGTCCGCGCGTCGTATCGATTGCATCGAATCGGGTCGGGTTGACCCGAACCCGAAGCGGGCCGTGTTCGGGTCCATAAAATTGACCCGTTTGTAAAAACGGGTCGGGTTGACCCGAACCCGACCTGAAACCCGAAATTGACACCCCTAGTTAGTGGTCTGATAATTATAGTTAGGCAGCACCTATTTGATAATGGTGGTTGGATAATGGTAGTCAAGCGACACTGGTTCGACAACGATGATTATGTGATGGCGGTGGTTAGACGATGGTGGTCAGATGATGATGTTATGATGATGGAGGTCAAGCTTCGAGATTATTTAACCCTATGAGTTATCTAGAGTATAAAGACAAGGGTTCTTTACATGTAGAGAGTGGAGGCCTATTTATAGGCTTTTGAAAATGGTATGCCTCATAAATATTATCAAAAAATGGTCCATATTTATTTTCTTGTTCATAGACCATTCTTTGATAGAGAATTGTTTATCATTTGATCATCCAATAAATATCTCAAAGTTTCCTATAATGCTTTAAGTACTTTATCTAGGCTTATTTGGACTATGATTAATGTGTACTTTTGGTGTTGAACAGGTTCATTTTATCAATATATTCAATGCGACGATAAGTTTGTTGAATTTAGAATTCATATAATCTTGAATTTTATTTTGAAAATTTCCAATTTAAATACTCATTAGGATTTGTGCCCGATCAAATCAATTTTAATGACTTATCAAACACTATTCCAAAACAAAGTTAGAACCCTATTAAACAATGTTCAAACTTAATTAAATCTTATTCCAAGTATGTTTGATCCATGTTAAATCATATTTGAATCTTGTTTAAACCTTTCTCTAACATTATTGCAACCACTTGAATCATCTTCAAAAATGATTCAAGCTTTAGTTCAACCATACTAAAATATTTTAAAATTTTATTTAAAACATTTTTTATATTTTACTCAAACCGCCTTCGAATCTTATTTAAATTATCTTTGAGCATGATTCGAAGTTTATTTGAAAATGCAAACAAAGTCCAAACTAGGACAAGGAGTATATGTTTATAGACACGAGGAAGCGTAAGATGATGGTGATGTGGTGAGCAACGTGGGGGGCATTATATATATATACACGTCAGGTTGACCTGAAAATTCAAAAATAACATGTTCAAAATCCTACCTCACTTGGTGTCACGGTCACGCCACGCGAATATGCTATACTGTAGCAGTGGCAACGTGACTCACACGAAGAGACTAGACTCAACGTGTCAGGCAACGCAGCACTCCACGCGGGCAGGGTGGGCACCGGATGCGAGCGGACCCTTTTTCGAGTCATTTTCGAGTTTCCAGGTCAACGTGAACCCACCTTGATTTTGGAAGTGGGTCGGTTTGTTGAACCTGAACCATACCCATTTCACAAACGGGTTGTCCCTAACATGGAATTTTCGGGTCGGGTTCGAATCGGGTTTTCGGGTCATGTCAAATATTGACACCACTAGAATTTGGACTGGTTTGGTGCAAAGTCTTTTTCATTTGTATTATAAATTTATTATAATGTATATTATAAGAATTAATAATTCAAAATTTTAATATTATAAATTTATATATTATATTAAATATTATTCTTATTATACATTTATAAATTTAATATTATATTATTTTTTTTATTTTTTATAATGTATATTATAAGAATATCATTTACTATTATTATGTTAAATGTAAATGTTAATTATAATTAAATTATTAGATATTTATAAATATAATAGACTTATAATTTAATTATAGTATATAATTATATTCATTAATTTAATTTAATTTAATTATTTAATAATTTAGTTATATTGAGAGACAATTTATTAAAATTGCCAACGATATAAAAAGTTAAAAACTGAATAGGACCTGTTGGCTGCCAGTTCAATCGGTAACCGGCCGGCCGGCCGGCCCGTTCGCTTTAACACTAAAACTGCAAAGCAGGGAACCGGATTTGAACCGGAGGTCGGTCGGACCGTGAAACCGGCGAACCGTGAACCGGACTCGAACCGTCCAGTTAAACTTAGACGCTATCTTTCAGCCGTTTGATTTCAATCGTGCGGTAACTCCCGAATTCGCGCCCTCTGTTCTGCTCCTTCTCCGCCGCTGCAGCTCCTCCGTCGGTGCTCGGATCATTCGCCTCTCTTCCGCTCCTAAAAGAAAGTAAACACAAGAAAGATTTCTTTGAAGATAAGATCAAAGTGTTTCTACTAGAGGAATCATCGTAAGGTTAGGAGATTTCGGCTTCAATAATAGTTCATTTCGTTAGTGTTCTAGAGATGTCAGCTCTCTAACAGGAAAAAATTGTCCTCTCCTTCCTATTTGGCTGTTTTCGCTGGCTTGGAACCGTGCTTTAGATCTGCCCATTCTCCTGTATCGTCTTCCATGAGAGAGAGAGAAGGCGAATTTATAAGGCGGTAATCTTAGGTCAGTATTTTTAAATTTCTTTTCTTCTATCTTTGTCGTAAAATTTATCTCTGTTTTTGTTTGTATAATTTATGGTGTTAATCGAATATGGATAATTGGTTCCTTTAAATTGAATGTTACATTGTTGCTTGCTAGTTTTGAGTTATTGATTGATGTTTCTTTTTCTTCTGTGAATTCCCACCACTTCGATTCATTCAAAGAAGGATAAACACAATCGTTCATATAACAAGCCTCAACTCCTCCCTCTTCCTCTCTATTCATGAAACTCAAAAGAAGCGTCATTGATAGCCAATGACGTTCCCAATCCACGAACAAAATTGAACGATAACAAATGTCTTGTAGAACGAAGCAGACCGAGATGAAGTGAATGGTAGTGAAGTGAGAGGACTATCGGAGGTGAATTTAGTAGATAGGCGGATATATAACTCTCAAAATATAAGAATCGACCATAAGCCTCAGATTTGGCACGACATATATTACCATTTGTGTCGTCTCTTTAATGAATGAGACGACAAAGAAAAAAAAATTGTGGCGGACGGAGGTGGTAAAAGTTCGTCGGCGATCGAGAAATGGTTTTCCTGAGCTGTCACGTGATAGAGACTTGTCTAGCGGGCGTGATAGGCTTGTCGTAAGCGTCGGGGTCGGACGTGGTCCCGCCAACCTTCTATCTCCGTTTCTCTCGGAATACATCGTTATCGTTTTTATCGTGTTTGACTGAAAGAGGTCTCCAAATACCAGACAGCCGCCACCGTCAATCAATAACATTTCAATTGCTCAGCCATGTAACTTCCATTAAACAATCAAAGACTCGATCAAGAATTCTCCAACCTAGTCGAGTTCCATCATTTCTTCTTTCATTACTGACTTGATCACTTCATAAGTCTCAAAAAATTTCATCTTTTGGGACTGACACATCTCCATACACCATTGTTAGATTCAATCACTCTATTGATGCCACATTGCTATATTGAATATCGAGCAACGATCGACTCATATTCTTTCTCTGCACATAAATTATGGTCTAATGTCTAAGAATGTTCATTTATTGTACCTACTCCATGAGTGGATGGAAAGTTACCTTTGTGCAATCATGATAGGTGGACTATATGGTCATTAACCTGCCTGTATGTGTCAACCAAGTTTGTGAAAATCGGACCGGACAATGAACTGGAAGTAAGAGAGGTTCGTTATTTGATAGATTTTATCCGTCGAACCAAGGTTGAATCAGATGATATTAAAATAATAATATTATTAAAAATTAATAAAATTAATATAATAATTATGATAGTCTAATCTTAAACCTCTTAATTCTAAGATTTAAACTCCGTAATTTATATAATTCTAAGAATTTAAACTTCATAATTTATTTATTATATTAATTTTATTAATTTTTAATAATATTATTATTTTAATGTCATCCGATTCGACCTTGGTTTGACGGATCATACCGATCAAATAATGAACCTCTCTTACTTCCGGTTCATTGTCCTATCAGATTTTCACAAACTTGGTTAGCACATACAGGTAGGTTGACGACCATATAGTACACCTATCCTGATTGCACAAAGACAACTTTCCATCCACTCATGGAGTAGGTACAATAAATGAACATTCTTAGAATTTAGACCATAATTTATGTGCAGAGAAAGAATACGAGTCGATCGTTGCTCGATACTCAATGTAGTTATGTGACATCAATAGAGGGATTGAATCTAACAATGGTGTATGGAGATGTGTTAGTACCAAAAGATGAAATTTTTTGGGACTCAGAAAGTGATCAAGTTAGTAATGGAGGAAGAAATGGTGGAACTCGACTGGGTTGGAGAATTCTTGATTGAGTCTTTGATTGTTCAATGGATGTTACACAGTTAAGCAATTCAAATGATATTGATTGACGATGGCGGCTATTTGATATTTGGAGACCTCTTTTTGTCAGACATGATAAATGCAATAACGACGAATTCCGAGAGAGATAGATAGAGAAGGTTGGCGGGACCACACCCGACCCCGACGCTCACAGCAAGCCTACCACGCCCACTAGACAAGTCTCTACAACGTGACAGCTCAGGAAAACCATCTCAGCCTGCCACAATCCTGGTTTTTTTTTCCTTTGTCGTCCCATTCAATAGAGAGACAACACAAATGGTAACAGATGGCGTGCCAAATCCGACGCTTGGGGTCGATTCTTATATTTTGAGAGTTATATATCCACCTATCTACTAAATTCACCTCCGATAGCTCTCTCGCTTCACTACCATTCACTTCATCTCGGTCTGTTTCATTCTAGAAGACATTTGTTATCGTTCAACTTTGTTCGTGGATCGGGAACACTATTGGCTATCAAAGGCGCTTCCTTTGAGTTTCATGATTAGAGAGGGAGAGGGAGGAGTTGAGGCTTGTTATCTGAAAGATGAGGTTTATCCTTCTTTGAACGAATCAAAGTGGTGAGGATTTGAATAGGAAAAACTGGCGCTTGGATTGAAATTTCTGGGCTTGGATTGGTTTTATAGAAGGAGATGTGGGTCGGATGGAATCTATTTGGGCTTCAGCTGCACAGAGTAGCATTTGGTTTCCTGACCTTTCAGCTGCACTTTCATGTATCCTTCTTACTAAATCCCGAAGGTAGAAATATTGCTTCTAATTGTGAAAATTATTTATGCTGTCTTTGTTGCTGATTTTTTTTTTTGGATGTTTGTTTCCTGGATGGGAATGAAGGGTTTTCGCTAATGACGTTTCGATCTAAAGTGGATAGTGATCCATTTGAAGCCTTACAGAACTGGGATCCTAGAGATGATGATCCATGCAAATGGAATGGTATCCAATGTGTTGATGGCAGAGTTGAGATTTTGTAAGTTCATTTTCCTTTTCCTATGCAATTTGCCTAAGAGGTATTTGAGGAATTTCCATGGAAAAATCAGCTTGCATAAATTGAAATGTTAAGCTTATTTAATGGTACGGTATATGAACTTTCCTTGAGCCTGTGATTCTGAAGTTCCTTTCCAGATATAAGGAACCAGGGATTTATATGTATCTCTTCTCTTCTTTGGAACTTGTAATGCATTTGATCTTCAACTTCTATGAAAGACAAGCCTCCTACTAAGCACTTCGTTCACTTCTGCTTACTTCACACATTCATCACTACTCCAAATTAATTTTGCATGTAGTTGATTTCCACTATTAATTCTAAAGCCTAAAATTTTATAGAAATCTTGCAATGCGCTTGTGGCATTGCACAATTAGCATTCACTAAATCTCACTCTAATAATAGTGACAATTTATTAAACCCTTGATGCACTGTATGTTATACTTCTTCTGAAAATTTAATAGCTTTTTTTTAATATCAGAATCCATTTTCATCCCAATGATTACTCGGAAAATATAGAGGTTGCCAATGATATCCCAAATCTGACAAGGCAAGGAGTGATCATGGGGGAAGATGACTCGGACAAGGAGCTGCTCTTGACGGTCTTCTAAGAGAAGCGAGGGGCAAGGAACTGCTCATTTTATGCAGCGACGTCCTATGTTTTTAGTATTTCTAATGCTAAAGTACAAAATATTTCATGTTTGTGCTTAACAAGCTAATTATTCTCTCGTAAACATAGATTTATTTATAAACATTTATCTTTATTGTGTGCTAAAGTACAAAATATGTCATGTTTGTGCTTAACAAGTTAATTATTTTCTCGTAAACATAGATTTATTTATAAACATTTATCTTTATTGTGTGGATGCTTGTTGTTGAGCCTTAGTGATTAATTGAATCAATAGTTCACAAGGTTATGTAATAGTGCTAGTTTATTTATATTGAGCTTGCTTGATTCAAATCTTATACGCAATTTGCTTAATCATTTACATAATATTGCATGTTAGTGTTGTTACACTTATAAGTTATTTTACTTGAGTACAAGCCTGTATGATTATTTAACTGAGTGTCTTATTATTTTTATTGTGTATAATATTACTTTATCATGCAGTTCACTTTCATACATATTGTATTATATCGTGTTTTGTTTAACTTGTTGCTTTTTATCCTGCATAATATATAATTTACTTGTTCCATTGTGCATTGCATCTCTTAGTATTATTGTGTGGATTAAATTGGTTGAATTATGGAAGGAAATTCTAAAATGTGAAAATTATACACTCAATTTACCCCCATTTTGATGTGCCTTAAACTAACACACTTCCCTTATGCATTCTTACTATATCCATCTACAGGAACCTTAAAGGGCTGAAATTAGGAGGGACATTGACACCAGAGATTGAAAAACTTGGTCACTTGAAAGCACTGTAAGAAATTTTTACCCTCCTGTTTTTGGCATCTATATTTTAAGTTTGTTTGTGAGGTTTCTAATTTAGTGGCAATTCATAGTCTTCTAAGCGTGTGCATTTGGTTGAGAAAGTTTCTCTTTAGTGTATTTATTCGTTTTTTTTTTTTTCAGAAATATATGTTATCGTCCTTAGATTATTTAACTAAGTGGTTTATACACCCTTTTTTTAATCTTACACTTAATTGTTGAGTGACATCCTTCATTAAACTTTCTTTTGATGTTTTGATTAATGGTTATTCCACAAAGAAAATCGATAATCTCCAATTTTTTTCATGTCCTTCCCACCTTATCCAGTAGTTAGACAAACTATCAACAAAGGAGGATCTAGATAGAATTGTGTATCACAAGTTTTTTCCACCAATGGATTGTATTAGGCCTAGGTGCTTTTTAAAGCTTCTTTTTGTGATTTGGTCAGATTAGCTCGGAGCACTAAATGATTTAAAAATCTTAATGTTTGCAGATATCTAGGTTGATTTATGTTTGGAGTTTGTTTGCATCTTCATTGTGCAATTTTTTTTTTTTTTTTTGTTTCCCCCAATACAATCAATCATGCGCCAATCATCTTCTTCATGCAGGATGATACATATTGCAAGCTTCTTTTTCTTCTTGTTTTTTTAAAATGTTTTGCACTGCGGTGCTGAATGACTTGCGATTTGTAGCATATTAGCTATTGCGTAGATTTTACGTAGCTCTTTCATATGCAGTGTGCTATCTGCTAACAAATTTACTGGAGCAATTCCTAAGGAGTTTGGACGGCTTTTAATGCTGGAGTTCTTGGATTTGAGGAGTAATAATTTGAGCGGTTCAATTCCATTGAAGATTGGAGATTTACCATCACTGAAGTGCCTGTTAGTAGATAATCACAAATTCTGTCATTTTCGGCTAATTGAACAGCAATTTTTATTTCTGTTCATATAGCCATAAATACTTATCGAAGTCCTTCTATATGTCTTGCAGTTTGCTTTGTGAAAACAAATTTGAAGGTGGCACTCATTCTGGGATGGAGAAGTCTGACATGATTTTCCAATCAATTTTGACCCATTAAGACTTGGGTTGACCAAGTCAGAGGTTGACTTGGTCAACTCAACCTATCATGCCCATGTCTGGGCAAAATCGAGGTCAACACCTGTGATGTTCCTGGGGAAGATAATTGTGTGAACAGAAATTTTGAGCAACGGTAACTTTTTATTCATGTTTGCCCTGCTGAATGATTTTTTACTTTCAACATTTATGTATTTTTAATACGTGAAAAGCCATTAGAAACTGAAGGAAAATTATGCATCAATTTGTCAATCCTTCATTAGCCTTAAAATTCAAATTTGGACAATTAACATAGGTGGAATTTGAACTACTATTTGCTTTTTTCTACCAGGTTAAACATTTTAGTTTTGTATGATGGGTTTATTTCTTTCCTACTGCTATAAAATTCAATAATAAAACACTGCCTTTTTTACTTTGAAATCTATAGCAAAACTACTTGTGCTGCCACCACATTGGTCCATTAGTATTAGAGATTCACTTGCTGGAAGCATATAGTTCTTTTTTGTTATGTACTCAAGTAAATGAAATATTGATATATAAGTACTAATTATTTTTTTTGTATGCATATGTAAGTATACAAGTCATATGTTCGTACGTAAGTGCTCATTGTTACCTTGTGTACTAAGATCATCGCCAACCGAACTACATACCATTGTATGCATTCTGCGAATCACCACATTCAAACTCTAAATCTCAAGCCCAAAAATCGATAGGTGAACAGTGCGACGTCAATATTGGTATCGGGCTGTTCACCTACGCCAAGAAAAGCGATTACCTTCGCACCTCTGCTTAGCTTCACAGGAAGAGCGCGAAATAGGAGAGAGATGATTACCTTCACAAAAGAAGCACGCGAAAAAGAAAAATGGAGTTCCATTGGAGATGAACTACCACATTTTGAAGTTTTACGGCATTTTAGAGTGAAAAATGGGGTGTTCGGTTGGAGATGCCCTTCGTGTTTTGGTTGATAATGTGTTTGCTTCAGCATTTGGCAGACAGGTTTCCAAAATCGCAGGTCCGGTTTTCTTGTAATCCCATTTAACTGAAATTTTCTTGATGTTTGGTTCATGTAACCATCGGTCTCTTGATCATGTTCCCAAGTTCTTTTAGCAGATAATTTCGAAGGCCTTCTCAGATGTGGGTTCAGGCATGATTCTTGCCACTTTTACAAGACACTGCACCTACAAATCCTCAGTCCCACCCACCTAAAAACGCACATGGACAATTGTATACGCGTGTTCATGTAGCTGCACGAGAACAAAAGAGAGAATGAGAGAGAGAAACAAAAATTCTTTTTGGTTGTTTGTGTGTTTAGTTGGTTTTAATTGGGTAAGTTGATCCAAAGCTTAGATACGAGGCAACATATGGTGTGTCTGAGTAGTTGAACTGTTAATGAAGTTTTACAAGCTTCCATTTTAATTACATTTTTGTTCTATTGTGCCATGAATATCCTTCTAATCCAATGATATCACAGTAACCCTCTCATTATAGATGTCATAACATATTCAGTTACCTTCCAGCCTATCTGATAATAGGAATCTCATTAAATATTTTCCAATCATGGCAGTATCAATATTGATCACAAACTCTCTGGAAGCACCAGCCTTTTTGGTGAAAATTTTCTCCAGAATTTACCATGGGTAAGGACAATAGGCTTAAAAAACATTTAGGAAAATAGTGTACTGTTTATAGTGAGAGTGTGTCAGATTCCTGAAGGTACTAGAAGTCATCCATTAATTGTCAAGAAAAAGGCACTCTACTTCTTATCTGGCGGAATCAGGGATGTTGTCAAGAATTAGAAATAATTTAGAGGGCTTGTACAATTGAGACTTTTCTTTGATAATCAGTTAGCCCGAACTTTCTATTTGCGCTTTTCTCAAGATGTTGCTCTTTTTTTTTATCAAATGAAGGTCAAAGCTCAAAAACAAATATTCTCATCGGCATGGGGACAAAATTGGAAACAACTTTTTAAGTGAGTATTCTTTATGCTCATGAAAAATACAGTTTTAAGAAAGTCAAATTTTTATACTGATAAAGCTAAACATTCTCCTACAGCAACAGCTACCTCATATATATCGCAATCGGTGCATGATTTACATATGGTTCGACATCATCTGCCTCAAGAAGCAAAGAATCTACCTTCTGCTCCTTCTGCTCTGGCAAGTAGTGCCCCTCCACGTACTGTTTCTGTTCCATCTCATGGAAGTGGCTTTTTTGCGGCAATACTAAATCCAAATGGAACTCATAGTAGAAGACCTAAACCATCAGTTGATCCTTCCTCAGTTCCTGTTCAACCTGATAAATTGGTGAAGAAAGGAAATAAATCTGCTACTGCTAGTAAACGCTGGCCAAAATGGATTTTTTCAGTGGTGATCCCAATAACCGCCTTAATTCTTCTTATAATTATGGCGTTGGTTGTGGTTTATCGAAGAAATGCAACTACAATACATACTTGGAGGACTGGGCTAAGTGGTCCACTACGAAATGCACTTATAACAGGTTTAATGTCTTTTACTCTTTCTTTTTGGTGCATTTTACTAGTTTTCTCTAGTTATTAGAACTTTAAACAAGTATATTGCTCTTGTATCTTGTTAAGATTCTTAGTAAAGTTCTTGAGCTTTTTTGAGTGCTTCTTACAAGAGATAGAGAGAGGAAGAGGGAGGAGAGAGAGACAGAAATTTTGAGAAGGAAAATCTATCCTAAAGCTAGGGGTGTAAATATTTGACCCAACCCGAACCTGACCCAAAAATTTCGGGTTTGGGTTGACCCGAACCGAATCGGGTCGGGTTCGAGTTGCAGTTTTCGAGCCGTTTCAAAAAACGGGTCAGGTTCGGGTTGACCCAGGAACCCGGAAATGACCCGGAATGACCCGTCTGCCCAATCTGCCCGCTCTGCCTGCGTCGTTCTGCCCGCATGCATCCACCCGCTGTCCAACAGTGCCACGCGTGACGCGCGATCCAGCCGCTGCGGTGCTGCCCAGTGCGGCAGTGCGCTAAACGCCAGTGCCCCGTGACTTGCATCTGCCAGGCCCAGCCGTTGTCACGGACTACTCACAGACCCGCGTCCCGCGGTCAAGTCCACCGCGCCGCGCATCGCCACTGCCCGCTGCTGGCTGTTGTTGCCGAACGCCGGCTGCCTACGTTGCTGCCGGGCGCTGTCGAACCCGAAACACGTGTCGCATGCCGCTGTCGAACCCGTAACGGGTCGGGTTCAGGTCCGCAAAACTGACCCGTATGCAAAAACAGGTCGGGTTCGGGTTGACCTGAATAGTGCCGGGTCAGTTCCGGGTTCGACCCGTGACCCGAAATTGACACCCCTACCTAAAACTTTCTTAAAATTTTCTCCAAACAATACATCTCATAAGATTTCTATTTATTGAGATTTACATTGTTGTGGTAACCAGCAGAAATAACATATACTAAAACTAGATCAATACCTCGCATATCTTTTGTTATTTAACTGGGCATATCTAAATTTAAAATTATAATAACTTAGTTTTATTTTGATTATTTTCAGGCCTACCAAAGCTAAACCGAGCAGAGCTAGAAGCTGCTTGCGAGGATTTTAGCAACATCATCATCAGTTATCCAAATTGCACAGTGTTTAAGGGGATATTGTCAAGTGGAGTTGAAATAGCAGTGGCTTCTACAAAAGCTACATCTCTATTTGATTGGTCTGAAAGATCAGAATCTCAATTCAGAAATAAGGTTTTGCATAATTGGTATTTTTGTAATATATTACCTTCTTAACTTCCAGTTCATTATTTCAGTCTTGTGGTGAAATTCTTAACATATTTCCTGCCCTTTTAATTGTAGATGGACACAATCTCAAAAATAAATCACAAGAATTTTGTCAACCTTCTCGGTTATTGCCAGGAAGATGATCCTTTTATGAGGATGATGGTGTTTGAGTACACATCAAATGGGACACTTTTTGAGCACCTTCATGGTGTGTTAGAAATAATAATATATTTAAACCTGATTATAAACATTTAATCCTAGAAGAATAATATAACTCTAACGGTCTAATTTTTTTTTTTTTAATTCTTCGACCGTTAAATCTTTCAGTGAAAGAGTTTGGGCATCTAGACTGGAGCACCAGAATGAGGATTATAATGGGCGTTGCTTACTGTCTTCAACATATGCATGATCTCAAGCCAGCAGTAGTGCACCCTATTCTGCAGTCCAGTTGTATTTTCATAACTGCTGATTATGCTGCAAAGGTAAGCTCCATTGCTGTACTTTCTGCTACATGCAAGGAAGTAATACTACAGCTCTTCTTGTACAGATAGCCGACCTCAGCATCTTTAGTGAGCCAATTGGAAAAGGAAATAATAACAAAGAAAGTTCGACGGCGGCGACGACCACTCATCCTGAGAGCAATGTTTATAGCTTTGGAATTCTATTACTGGAAATCATTTCAGGAAGAATGCCAGTCTCTGAAGATGATGGCCTACCTATCTCAGACTGGGTAAGAAATCATTTATATTCTTTTGTTTCCGTTCAAAATTCAAATGAAGTTAATGTCCAAAATGGTACCTAAGACTTGTTATGGGCATCTAATTGAGTCCTGCAGTTCTCTAAGGCTTCGTTCGGGACGGCTTTCTTATTGTTTCTTGAACCAGCTTTCTAGTAAAAAAAATTTAATTTTTTACTAGAAAAGCTGCTTCAATAAGTAGTAAAAAAGCCGTCACAAATGAAGCCCAAGTCAAAGTCAATTTGGTCATATCATCAGAGCTTTGTCACTTCTTTGAATGAAAATTGGTGGAAGGGAGCTTTTCATCAAAGCATTTTGGACTTTTTATTGTCCATTTCAGTACTTAATACAAGCTCAAGCTAATAAAATTGACCTTAAAAAGTCTAAGATTTTCTCATGGAAATTTTCTGCTGAAATAAACAACAAAGTAGGCGGTATTAAATTCAGATTTGTTGAGTTTATGGATTAAATTGAGTAAACATAAATAAAAAAATCTATGGACTATTTTAGTAGGAATTATTTTAATCATTCATTGATTGAAATATTATCACACTTTTCAGGCTAAGGAACACCTCAAGGATGAGAAAAGTATTGTGTCTCTGGTTGATCCTTCACTGATGTCAAAAAAAGACAATGAGCTACAGATCATTTGTAAGGTAGCTGAAGCTTGTATCCATGAGGATCCCAAGAGCAGACCAACAATGAAAGAAGTCTCTGGTTCACTCAGAGAAGTCATCGGAATCGACCCCGAAGCGGCGATGCCGAGGCTCTCTCCACTCTGGTGGGCTGAACTGGAGATCCTTTCAGTTGAAGCTAGTTAAACTAAATGGATTATTCTGCTCATGGAGTGAAGCTCTGAAAGAAGAAGAAGAAGAAGAAGAAGAAGAGGAGAAAGAAGAAGAGTATTTAGATGTTGTAAATTGCAACCATGTTCATTTTGCAAGTGGATGTATGGGTTGAAGTTATTAATTTTTTTTTTCTTCAGTCTGTTTGAAGTTACATTTATGATTCATAATTTAAATATGTAATTTGAGATTTGTTATTGACATTTATGCAGATATGTGTATTGTTGCCATCATCATCATCCAATTCTTTGAGATTGGTTTTATGAGAGCCAAATTTGTTGTGACTTATACTAGCATTGTTGTTACATGCTAAGCAATGGTGGACTTGGGATGTCAAAATGTAACAGTCCAAACTCTGAACAATCAAGATATTGTTTGCTTTGGACTAATGACCTCACGGGTTTCTCTCGTTGGTGTAATGTCTCAAGAGGTCACCTCATCTCAGAATTACTACTGCATGAGCACACCTAGCTTTGAAGTTTCTTAATGAAATTCTAACAATTATACTAGAAGGCATATCAATGTTTAATAGTTTAATTTATTTTTTCTTGAGGGGTTTCAAGCAAAATACCCTATATTCAATTTTTTTATTTACAATAGAATACACAATATATTAATATCAAAATTGTCAATAGATGTTTTTTCTTGGATTCATACGTTAAAATTCTTGCATAAAAAAAAAATAAAACTAAAGGTTCAATTATGATAGGTCAAAAAATGAAAAAAGTGCTAAAGCAAGAGCTCAATCAATGCACATTACAAGAGTCCATTCAAGAAGAAATAATCAAGTTAGAATTTAAATATTTATATTAAAATTCCCTAAGATGAAAATTCAAACATTCAAGAAGAATTTAAACATTCAAGAAGAAATTAATTAAAAAATTCCCTAAGATGAAAATTCAAACATTTTGAATGTTTGAATTTTCATCTTAGGGAATTTGTGTAGGAGGTATTCATGAAGGTAGTTGGCCTTCATTAATGACCACTTACTCTCTTTTTATGATTTTTTTTTTCTTATTTATAAATGATGGTAGTCATTATAACTTTATAAATAATTGCGGCGTATTATAAAAAATTTTAATTTTTGAATGGTAAATTTTTTTTAATAAAGTTCTCTTTTGGTTAGAGCTTGGTGACCCATCTTGACCAACTTCTTTAAGACTAATTAGTTATCTGTTATGCTTATTATTATTCTTCTTAATCTTTTTCAAATTCTCTTTAGAATCTTCCTCTACACCATCTATTTCTCTCAAAACCATTCATCCATAATTCAAGCCATTAGAATCCACCCAATCTTGCTTGGAAGCTCTTGGCATAAATTAAGCTCCCTTTCAATCATCACTATTTTTCATATAAATTTTCCTCCATACACACATCAATATTAAACCCATTTGCTAAAGATTTAAACCAAATTAACTTAAGCTTCTTTGGGTTGACTTTCTTACTGCTTATTGAAACAGCTTTTTAGCACAAAAATTAATTTTTTTGTACTAAATAGCTGCTTTAAGAAGCAATAAGAAAGTCGTCACAAACAAAGCCTCAAATTAGGCTGAACTAATCTAGTTATGGCTATCCCTCCACCATACATGTAAAACCCCTCATTATTCCACCATAAACTCTAAACCAACTCTCCACTTTCTAAAGTAATCAAACATAATCATTTTTAGTCGTCTCTCCCTTCACAGAGCCTCCCACGACCATCAATAGCAGAGTAAAGAGGTGCCTTCACAATCACAACTATTTGTAGGAGCATATTTGAACACATGGACGATAATGTATATGGAACTTTTGCAACATTCCATAATAAATTTTAATAATTTGATGTTATTGGAACCTTCTCCACATAATGACATTGATGAGCAAAGAAAATTTATTTATGCTATTATATATAGTTAAATATACCATATGAAATACTATTATAAGAGACCTTCATCATAAATATAAATGTTGCAATTATAGGGAGAGAAAATAAATAAACATTGGATTTTCAAGTAGTGGCAAATAACTTAAGTACAAGCAAGTCCATCATCAACATTTATAGAAACAAAATGGCTCTGCTTGGGTTTTTTCATCCCAGCCGCCGCCTCTTCTTCGATTTCGTCTGGTGAGAGATTTTTTTCATCTTTGCTCTTGGTTTCGTGTATGGCGGCTTCTCGTATACGCGATCCTGGTTTCTTGAGCGGAAAAGCGGCTCCTATTTCGTTCAAGGATGCGGTTTCTGGTATTTCGTCATCCTCTTTTCCTGCTCTGAATTTTTCTTCCCATCGAGGCTTGCCGGCGTTGTTTATTTCGGAGGATGAAATTAGGTCGCTTGCTAAGCCTTTTGAGTTCTCTTTGGTTGGGCGTTTTCCGAGGCGGAGACCCTCTGTTGAAGCCATTCAGAAATTTTGTTTTAGTTTAAAGTTGATTGGAGAATTTTCAGTAACTGTGCTCAATAATCGGAATGTTTTGATAAAACTTGAGAATGATTTTGATTATTGCAGAATTTTTTCCCATAGATCCTATTTTGTTCAAAATTGTTATATGATAGTGGTGAAATGGACTCACCATTTGGATGTTGAGTTGGATTCTCCTATTGTGCCGATTTGGGTCTCTTTCCCTCTTCTTAGGCCCCATTTATTTACTCCTAGAATACTCTTTGGTTTAGGCTCTCTTTTCGATCGACCCCTCAAATCCGACTTGGCGACGACATCTGGGTCGCGGCCGTCGGTAGCTCGTATATTGGTTGAGTTGGATGTTACCAAGAAACATGAGGAGAAGATATGGGTGGGATCTGTGGGATCTGGGTATATTCAGAATGTTATATTTGATGAAATTCACAGTTTTTGTAATCATTGTAGTTCTCTAGGTCATTCTAAGGATGCTTGTCCAATTTTGCACCCGAATCGTAATGTATCTAAAACTGCGAAAAATCGTTGTGAAGCTCCGGTGTTGGAGGAACCTGTTGTTGTTGATGCTCAAAATGAAACTGTTATGCTTGAGTCGAATGTGTTGGAGTCGGTTGTGCCTGTTATTGATTCTGATAGAGATCAGACTTTTAAGCCAACGGTTGGTGTTTTGTTGGATAAATCTATGGAGGATACTGTACTGGTGGAAAATGAGGTTGCGGTTGAGGCGGAAATTTCATTGTCTCCTAATGCTGTGCCTTTTTTTCCTTCGTCTGTCGTAACTGATCATTTGGCGGTGAATGAGGGTATTTCGGTTGACATTCTGGAGCCGGATTGCAATGGGAGGTTGGTTTCTAATGTTGTTTTGCAGGAGTCGGTTCCTACCGAGGGAGATGGGCTGGTACTGAGGGTTGACGATGATTTTGCTGTTCGAAATCAGAGTAATGGTGATAGTTTGGTCTCGTTGGTGGGGGAAATAAATGCTAATATGGAAGTGCAGGGAATGTTGGTCAATTCTCAGAATTTGAACCTTCTCCACATAACGATATTGATGAGCAAAGAAAATTTATTTATGCCATATAATATTTAAACATACCATATGAAATACTATTATGAGAGACCTACATTATAAATATAAATGTTGTAATTATATGGAGAAAATATAAATAAGTGTTGGATTTTTAAGTAGTGGCAAATAACTTGAAAAAAAAAATAACTTATTAGAATATAGAAAATGAGTTTAGCTAGTTATAACTTTTTATAAGATCAAATTGGAGTATATGGTTAGCCATGATCCAAAAAAATTTAATAATATTAAAAATTATTATAAGAAAATTCTTCAAAATATTTAGTTAGATCTACTCTCCATTAAAATTAAATAATTTATTAAAACTTTTTAAAGCTTTCTAAAAAGATACAAAAATCTATTCAATTGGGCCAAGAACTTTCCAAAAGACTTGAAAGTTCTTATAATAAATGAAAAAAATAAAAATTAAATCCAATCTTAATAGACTTGCTAACAAAAAATGAATATCTAATTAAAGTAAATATAATGAGAGAGAAGATGGTTGAAATAAATAATTAGTTTTAGATTATTTTAAAAAAATAAAAGTTAGATTTTTTTGTGTGGTTATTTTTCCTTCTAAGATTGATACATTTTGAAAATTTTGAGGATTAATCATTAATGCACTTTTTTTTGTTCATCAATCTTATTGAGCCATTCATTCTAGACTTCAAAATTGACTCTTTTTTTAGTTGTGGTTCTTACTTCTCACCGATAAAAAGGGCTTTTTTTTTTCTCTTATGCTAACATGTATTCCGCAGAAGCTCAGAGCTTGTCGTCTCCGCCCTTCGTCGCAGTCGCATCGCAGTCGCAGCGCGATCCTCTTGAAGCGGCGGCAGCCGGCCCATCTTCTTCTTCGATCCGCCACCTTTTCAAAGTCGTACCTTTTCTTTCTGATCTTTTTGGTCTCGATTGAGATGACGGGTCAGTTGTTTCCTCTTCTTCTTCTTCTTCTTGTTCTCGGATTTCTTGTTGGAGGCCTCCACGCCAGCGCCGGCGATGCCGATCCAATCTATAGGTAGTTTCTCTCTCCCACTGTGCCTCTGTCTACTATTAGATTCTTTTCTCGTCTATGTTAATCGATCTGGAAAATGTTCTACGATTCCTCTCTGGCGTTGGGCTGTTATTGCTGCAGAAATTATGATCATCGATTTATTTCTTCCTGTTTATGAATGAGAAAATTAGTTCCTTAGGATTATCAGATCCATATCCCCGTGAATCACGAACGGACCGCGGAAGGGAGTGAAAATTTCTTTTAATGTGGAAGATTTTTCTTCTCTGGGAAAGAGAAGAGATAAATGGATATCTTTCTATCAACTTCTGAGTATATTTGTCCATTACTGATTGATTCATATGAAAGGTTTGTGCTTGTGCTAGTCAAGAGGCCAATCCATAATAATTACTGAGAATTCTTCTTTTTAGCCTTCTTTTATAAACAGAAGGAAATCACAATCTTATTTCATGGATTTAATTGCTATATGAAAATTGAGTCTTTGTTTTAAATAATCATTGTATGACTTTAAAAAACTACTGTGAATCTAAGAGCTTGCATTTATTCGATTAAGGCTTCATTGGGTTATCCGGTACCTTTTGTAAAAGATAGTTTCAAAAATGATGTTTGAGGGAATGGAGGAGTATAAAGGAGAAGCAATCAAAAAGCTTCTCAAAATAGTAGAAAAATGAAGTTCCCAAAAAAGCATTCCTGCAGAAGCCCCGCATACAAACAACAACAACAACAACAAAATATTTATGCCGTTTCGAAACAAAAAAGGTAAAAATAAGTCAAATC